TCTCTTGAATGTTATTTAAAAGTACTATTCAAAACTACTTAATAAGTATACAACTCAGTTCAAGCTGTTGTAGCTTAGAGTCTAGAATATAAGCAAGCTAAAATTTTTAGTATTCCTGCATTAGCATTTCACTTCCTCTCCTGGTACCTATTTACCAGAATGTAAGTGCCAAGAAGAACATGTAACTTTATTTTGCTCATTGATTCATCCTAAGCAAATTCAGCAGTGCCTGGAATGGTATAATGATCAGTGGAAATTTTTTTAGCATTCCTTTGAGGCCTCTTTTCATAGTCCCTCCATTTTTAAAAAAGGGTATATCTTATAACTATATTGAATACCTAATTTTCCTTTAGGTTGTTAATTTGTATGTATTTGGCTTTTAAATGTTCAAGCATACTCTTAAAAACAGTAAAGAGTAGTCAAATGTTCTAATATTTTTAATATTTTCTTCCAGAATATCATCATATTGTTGTAAGGTCAAAAGTATAGGCAAAGATGAGAAGGAATAGCAAGGGTAAAAGAATCAGAACAAAGGTGCTAAAGAAGAAATGATAGTGTTTGCGGGCTGAGATTATAGGAGATAGAGAAGACAAGTCCTATAATGGTGAATTTTAACACTGTTCTAGTGCAGGAGATATGGATAATGATCACTATATTAGTGAGGTGGTGCATAGTAGATAGAATAGGATTTAAGGAGAATATAATGGCAACTTTAAGGTTTCACATGATCTGCCTAAAGATATTACCATATCATTTCTCTTTAGCAAGAATTTTTTTTAAAGGAGGAAATACTGGTTTATCTAATGTTGCATTAAGACATTTACAGTATTTTGCTTTGCTTTCTATTTTGCAAATAGTATGTACTCAGTAAATATTGACGTGAAACTTTAAAATTGTAGTGAGAGGGCCAGGGATACAGTTCAGTGGTCCTGAATTCAGTCCCTGATGTAGATAGATAGACAGATAGATAGATAGATAGATAGATAGATAGATAGATAGATAGATAAAGATAGTAGTAAGACTTTTATTACAAGTTCTGCAGTTTTGTTTTTCCCCCTACATTCCATAGCCTACTTTAGGAGCTGTTTAATATAAATAATATGGTTTGAGTTTTTTGAAAACCAATGTCCCTCAAAATATTTTTTTTTGCGTTTAAAAAAGCTTAAGAATTTAAAACCTCAGCTTATATCACAGTGATTTTCCTGGGACCCTTAAATACATTATTTTCGAGATATAAAATATGTTGTGTAAGCTAAATTATTTTCTCATTAGTTTTACTATAATGTGATTTATATTGAGTCATAATTTTAGTCTATAAATTGGTTTGAGGACTTTCCTCATAATGTGATTTCCTTTCATTTTTAACTATTAAGCAGATTCCAAGTCAGTAGTTAGCATATGGAGGATGGTCAGATTTGGAGAGAATTATCATTATTGTTTTGTGTATTAGAATTGTACTGTGGAAGAAATGTATTTATTGTGAGTACACAAAAACCAAAGAACAACTATAATTTGCTTACTTAATTTGTAAATTGATTTAATTAATACTGAAAGAATGATAAGCAACTGACAGATAAATCACCTACATATGACAATTAATGGACCTAGCGTTTGGATTTTAATTTGAGTTCCACTATTTAAAAATATCTAATTTGAAGTTCAAAAATAGAAGTAGCAAAAGATCATGTCCTTTTTATCTTCTTACCCTTTGTTTAGATCTTAGATATATGTTATGTCTTATTAAAACTCTCATTCTCGTAAGGCATAAACTTTGAAGTTGTAGAAAAGACTTTCTTAAACTTAGTTGTAAGTTTTCATTTTGTTCTCAGAAAATGCAGGATCTTTGATATAACTGTTAATGGTACCTGGCTCTAAAAGTTTATTGCTTAGAAATGCTGTATAACTGTGTGGTTTTCCTGATTTCATTAGGCCACCAAACCACACTACAGTTGATAATTTCTTTTGCTGAAGCAAAAGAAGTAATTTTAACACCAGAAAAATAATTATGTTTAGGTTCCATTTAGTCATACTTCTAATCCAGCTCTCTTGGCTAACTTGTATGTTTTTATTATACTTTTAGTATGTCTTTGAACATAGTGTTTTATGAACATATATTCATTTTCCCAGATGGATATCTATCTGGGCAAGGTAGAATAAGAATTATATTTTACTGGTTATTGCTGCATATACTGTAAAATTATTTTCCTATGCTTAGTAGTCTGTAGAATCTGCATGATTTTAGGTATTAGTGTTTGTTTTTTGTTTGTTTGTTTGTTTTGTTGGTTGGTGATTGAACTTGGGCACTTGTGCTTGCATGGGAGGCGGTGGAACCACTGAGCCAAACTCCCGGCCCTAGGCATTGGATTTTATTTTGGGATGATAGATCTTCTTGCATTAAAACATCTTATCATGAACTAGAAGAGTTCATGATACAGCATAAATGCTAGGCAAGTTGCAAACCTGGTGAATTTGGTATGTCAGATTTTTACTTCCAGAAATGCAATTTTATCTTTATGTAACTAAATAGTTACAGTGTGTGAATCTATTTAAAATGGCAATTCTTTTACCATTTTCTGCAGAGAGACAATGGAATAGGTAATATTTTTGAATGGTTCACATTTTTAAATTTCTAAATTATTAGAAGTATTTGTTTTTGCACTGTTGTGGTAATATTTAGAACTTCCTGTGTTTCAAGCTCTGTCCTCACACTTTAGTACACATTTTTCAGCTATCATGTCAGTATGTTATTTCTATTTTATAGATCAAAAAACAGAGATCAAACTTAATCATAGGTAATGCAGCTAGGCCTACATGAAAGACAGATTTCCTTAATTCTAAATCAGGGTTCTTAACATTTTCATGATTAGCTCTCAAATTTGATTGTACCTGATGCAGTTAGGAGCTGTACCAAAGCAAAGGAGGGATGGGTCTTAAAATTAGAAAAAAATTAAGAAGAAAAACTGTTCAAATATAATTTCACATTGTTGAATGAATGATTATCAGTTTTATACCTTATCCAACCCACATCTGTCTTTCAACTCTGAGAAACCAATAGTAAAACTAAGAGAAATAGTGTGGTAGGCTTGATGACATAATAAGAAATACAGCACAGAAGACTGTAACTGTGGCCAAGATGACTTTTCTTACATGTAGTGGTTCCTGGGCAGTTAACATGGTAATAGCCCTGTTCCAGGCCCAACAAATTTGTTATAAGTATCACAAGTTTTTTTAGGCTGATTTACATGCTGTGTAGGCTGGGCTTTGCTCAGCAGTAACCTCCGTGAAGGTGTTACATGCCATATTTACTTACTTGCTTATTTATTTATTTATGGACCAGGGATTGAACTCAGGACCTTGCACTTGTGAGGCAGGCCCAGTGCCACTGAGCTAAATCCCCAACTCACTTACTTGCATTCTTGATCACATGTGTTTCCTTTGTACAACTTGTTGGCTGTTTGGGTAGTAAAATGAGGTCAGACTGTGCTTTTGGTGTTACACAGAGTTCAAATTTTCACTCTTAAACAATTTTTCCTCAACCTTTCTGGCCTAGCCTTGCTTAAAGACAGCAAATCCTGAGGTCTACTTAGGGTAATGATGCCTTATATCATTCCATTCTAAGAGAAGTCATCATATTTCCCTTCCTTCCTCCTATTTGTTTAAGCAAGATACAGAGTAAATGTTAGGAATGTAAGAAAATCCCCAAATCTGAATAGTGTATGAATAAACCCAATTTCATTATTTAATTCTTTCCAAGAAACTGTTGTGTGCATTATGTTGGAAATGCATTAGTGATAAACTGTGATTTTCTAATTTTCCCAGCAGTATAGCTAGCCTTAGACAATTATTTCTTAGCTCAATATACAGCCATTTTCAAATATAAGCCAAGATTTGCATTTTTATGACTAACATAGATACTCTTTGAATCTTCACAAAAAATAGCCTTAGTGTGTATTAGGGGTCTACTTTCTAAATGTGTATTATACCTTACAATGATAAAAATGTTCCTAGTTTTCAGTTTCCCTTCTGTATTTAAACTAAAGCAATTTACCAAAATTACAATATAATTGTAATACTAATGCATCTTTCAAAATAGATGACAATAATACATTTCAGTTGGTCGTGTACTTAGTATTTTAGCAGTGCGGATTGGCTTGTATTAAGTCAGAATTTGTTTAAACGGGGCTATTATATTTATACAAATATGTTACTGACTTTACAACTTGGCATCTTAAGAAGATAATGACACATTTTGCTGGGCTTGAATTTCCAAACTCCTTTGCCAGATAGGAAAAGGAGAAGTTGCATATAGATTTTATAGCTTTTCATGAATAGACCATTTTCTTTTTGGTGAAAAAATATGAGGAAAGTGCATTAAGTAGAGATGTTTTTGGATTTATGTCTGCTAATAACTAAAATGAAAACTGAAAAGGTTCTTTTCTAGACATTTAAAAGCAAAACTCTGAGGAAACATTGCCTTATTATGATAGGCAGATGAAAGAAGACATGTTATAAACTTGTTTTTTCCCTTGCATACATGTTATTCATGGTTTTGGTAAAAGTGTCGTTACTGATGTAATGAAGATTATATCACATGCTAAAATTTTTAGTTAAACTGACTGGACAGTGTGAAAACACACAGACAACACAGTATTATATAATAACTTTTGTAATTCTTAATGAGTTATACATATTAGCCCATTCAATCTCATTCTTGAAATGTATAATAACATACTTATTTTCAGTATATTACAGCTCTACTGTATTCACAACACAGTTTTCTGGACCAAAATGTCCTCCTTTTATGTTCTCTAGTACTGTAGATTACTGTTGCATTTAAAGAAATGTACTACACAAAGATGTTAGAAGTAGCTTTGTAACACAAGAGGCTCTGGTAGAAAAGGGGTAGTAGGGGAAAAACTGTGCAAAAGGTTGTTTGGAAATCAAGTTTAATTTAAAAGAGCTTTCAATCTCTAGTTAATATAACTGCTTTAAATTTACAGACAGTGGGAGTAGCTCACCGTTACCCAAGTATGCTTCATCTCCCAAACCAAACAACAGCTACATGTTCAAACGCGAGCCCCCAGAGGGATGTGAGCGAGTGAAGGTCTTTGAGGAAATGGCGTAAGTAATGTCTTTTCTATCAGCTGGGATCTGCAAAGCTATGAAGCTTTTTACTGAGGCCAGTTGATTATACAGAATCAACTACTCCATCCAGCTGATAGTGTGTTTCAGAAGCAAAATTTGAAAAGGGAATTCCATAGGTAAAAGAGATCTTAAAGAAGGAGAATTAAAGTTTGTGTGCTGGAAATGTACAACAAGCTAGTTGAAAGAGACTTGGAAATCATCCTTCCTACCTAAAAAATGTCTTTTTCAGTTTTAAGAATTTTCTTTGCAAAAACCCCGTCAATTTTTATGACTGACAAGAAGACACCTAGGAGCAAAGTTAATACCTGACTAGTCTATAGACGTGCTAGGCAGAAAGAAGGTCTTCTTCTTCCCTAATGACACATGTGCTTGTCTATTCATGGACTGGGATTTCTGTTTATGGATTTATTTTTTTCCTTTTGAAATTATAATATGTATAATTTAGAAATTTATGTTGAAAGTCCTGGGCAGAATTCTCAAGAAGACTGTGTGACTCTTGGACTCACCCATCTCTTTGTCCCAGTGCAGGTGCCTGATAGAGGCTTCTGTACTCTTAAAACCTAATGGGGAACGAGAGCCAGTCTTGCAGGAGTCTGTGGCTTAGGTTTAGGAATGGGAAGAAAGGATGGGCTTGTGGACCCTCCTCTGTTGGGCTGAGTATCTCTCTGAGAGACCACTGAAACTCCCCTCACCCACATCTATGGGGAGTTGCATGAAAGGGAGAGAGTGCTTCAAGTCAAATATGTGATGAGTTATATCCTTCTATATGCTGTTACATAACAGAAAAATCATACTAACCTTGTGTAGTCTTCAGATATAATGTAGGAGATTTTTCCACATTCCTAAAAGATTGAAAGTGAAATGATAGCTATAAAAAATTTCTACCTAGTCCTTTTGAAAATTGTTTTCTCAGATACCACTTCAGTGCTGTGTACATGAGTATTCTGCCAGCTGACTTGTGCTATGGAAGATGTTTACCCATCTGTGTACACTGAACCCATTCCTTGCCATTCACATTTTAGCAGCTTTAGAGAGCTCTCCCCGCCTTCCCCCTTTTTCCCCCAGAAAGTGTTTAACTTTTTCATGAGTGAAACCTAATTTTGTTTTATGGTTTTAGGTCTCGTCAGCCTATCTCGGCCCCTCTCTTTTCATGTCCTGACAAAAACAAGGTTAATTTCATCCCAACCGGATCAGCTTTCTGTCCTGTGAAACTTCTAGGCCCTCTCTTACCTGCCTCTGACCTGATGCTCAAGAATTCTCCTAACTCTAGCCAGAGCTCCGCTCTGGCAACTCTGACCGTTGAGCAGCTCTCGTCCCGCGTTTCCTTCATGTCTCTGTCTGATGATACCAGCACAGCAGGCTCCATAGAGGCCTCTGTCCAGCAGCCATCTCAGCAACAGCAGCTCCTGCAGGAACTGCAGAGTGAGGAACACATCTCTGCTCAGAACTATGTTGTCATCTAAGGCAGAGCGGGAGCTGGCCTCCACCCCGTGTTCTAAGAACTGGGAACAAGACCTCAGACATCTATCTGCATGGAGTGACAAACTTTCTGAGTACCACCACCGACCACAAAATACTTATCAGCATCATAAAGTATCTCTTAACACTGATCTTTGGCAGGGACGGAACTCCTATCCAGCAGTTTTTGTGGAAAGCATAATGCTTGCAAAATGTATGTGTCATTCAGCATTTTAATTGGAGACTATGCATTTCATAGTATGTTTGACAGATTAGTACAATGTCCTGTGTTTTGTTCCAAATTCTTCAGTATAAATAAGCTCTAATATCAAAAAAGTTGCCTGTCTAAATAGAAAATGTCTTGCTGTGTTTTGTCCTATGGAAAATACTGTACTTCAGAATTATGTTTACAATCGATCCAGGTGTTTGTTTCTAATTTCTGTAATACATACAATGCAAAAAAAAAAATGGCCACAACAGTTGCACAGTGCCCACCCTATGGCCTAGCTTCAGGTACTTCAGTTGAAGTCTAACTCAGGTAATTTGGAATGTATATCATATTGGGATATTAAATATTTCACAGCTACAAAGCTAAAGAGGGAACATCACTCTTTTGCCTTTCCTTATTTTGTGCATTTCCCTTTCCTCATTCCATTCCATATTCTTAGAATAAGAAGTGCATTCAGCCCTAGGTGAGTGATAGCCCTGGACATGGGTGAACTTGAGGAGAACCAGCAATCTGTGGTGTGTGACATCACTTTTTCATGTGGTTACGAGTCAAACAGCATTGCATTCCCTGTTTCAACATGTGTAAATGTGGCATTTTTGAAAGTTCAGGTGTTCAGTTAAGGACTGTTACAATTTTGCAAACCAAGTGTTCAGTACTAGATTATACATAAAACATTCCACATCATGTGTGATGAAATTTAAAAACAATGTCTAGGTGTAATTTCAAATTTAATTTCAAAACAAGCAAAATTTCACAGAGGATAGTTGAGGGTTTTTTTGTTTTTTTGTGGGTTTTTTTGGCCATCAGCATAGTAATTGCTACCATTTTTATCTAAAGACTATGTTTAGTTTCTGTTTTGGAAATTCTTTAATTTGAAGGCTAGAACATGACACGCTTATTTTCATCATGCAGTTTGGGTGCATGAGTTTCATTCACATAGAATACACAGTCTCAGAATTAATGCAGCATAAATAGGCTATTAGTCACTTACAAACTCATTTAAGCCTCACATAATACTGTCAAGAGTTTTGTTAAAAGTTTGGATGTACAAAGTAGAGCATAAACCCAAGTAGTCTTGAACTTGCAGACTTGCCATAAGTTCTCCACAAAGTGTGAAGAGAGCCCTAGATATTCTTGATCGGTTAGTGACTGGGACGGCTTAACTATCCGGCATTGTTTTCTGTAATGTACAGTATCCAAAAATAAAGAGAAGCTTTGATATTTTTATTCCATTGTTTTCAGCTCAGTAAACCTAGAATTGTCTCATCTGCACCTGAAATGTATGGCACATGCTTTTCTTTAAGAATTCATGGGGGAAAAAAAAGAATTCATGGAACAAGGTGCCTACAGTTAAAAGAATGTTTCAGTTCATTCCTGGGACTTTTTTGTTGTTGTTGTTTTAAGAAGGTTGAAGAAGGATGAAGCAAATAGAAGAATGCAACACCATTGTTTTTTTAAGAAATATTTTATATATATATGTATATGTTTGTGTGTGTGTGTGTGCATTCAGTGTAATATTTTGTCATGATCCGAATCTCTCCTTTCCACCAAAGTTTGCAGTAATATTCTCTCCTGAAGGTGCACTCTAGCTCCTTTAAATTAGTCAGTGTTATAGGAGACTGTCATGGAGAAAAGGACTGTTTACTTTTGCCATTTTCACAGGGGAAACTTTTAAAGCAACCTTTTCAGCAGCTGACACCTTTAACCCTAATAATCTCAGGCCTTGATGAAAATACTATATTTTGTAGATTATGGTTAAAGGGAGAGAATTCTTAGTTCCGTAAGATAAATATGAGCTCCATTTAACTTCTGATATCTAGTTTAACATTACATGATATGTTGATCTTACGCTGTGCTTTTGTCCAAATAAGATGCAATAGTATCAATTTCAGAAAGATGGAATGATTATGCTTTTTTTTGGTGATGATATCTGATGTATGATATTTATAGTGATGTGCTTTTATTTTCTCATGAGAAACTAAATATTGTGTTGTACATTTGTTCTTAGCATATATTAAAGTTTTGAACCAAATTTGTAAAAGCTTATGCTTTGCCATGTAAATTTCCCAGAAGTTGTTGAGCTCAAATGTATCCTACATTCAGCTGTAGAAATTTGTCAGAAATTGTTTAAATTTTGTATATAGTTGTACTGTTTAATTTTAGCCACTGTGCTGAACAGTATTTGAGTTATCATACAATATGGCTTTACACAAGGAAAGTGTGGCTTCTGTTTTGTATTTTTTTCAGTATAGAATTTCCTGTGTCTTATTTAAATAAAGTTATTAGTAAAATTGGAATAGTTTAAATGTTTGTGGACTGACTCGGGTATTGGCACATTACTCAACATAGAGGTCCACTCCATTGTGCTAATGACAATGTTTGGTCTCCATGAGCTCCTCCTACCTGCATCTCTCATGCTCTGGGGTGTCTAACTGGGTCGGATTTCTCCACTTTGGTTTGCTCTTGACATTTAATTTGCACACTTTCTGTCACAAGGTAAGAAGCAGGATATCTAGAATTCCAAGTCTGTACTGCTCCCAGCTATGAGTATCTTAAATAGAGAAGACATTGTTCCTGTATCATCACTCTAAGAATTTATGGAAATGAATTTAAAGTCCATGAAATAACATCAAAGAAGGTTGCATATTTCCTACAAATAATGCTGCAGCAATAAAATCGACTTTTTTACCCTTTTATTAAATTTAAAGTAATAAAAGGGAGAAAAGCATCACAAAACAAAAGGTTGATGTTAGACATGCTACCTAATAGGGCTATGGTAGCTGTATGGATGGGATGAAATTTCAGCAAAAACAAAACCACTGAGAATTTATAAATAGTATTCATTTCTGAAGTACATCTAATCAGAGATAAGATTTGGCCTTTAAATTCAATTTAAAAACAATTAGTAGCTGTATTTTGGGATGAGAATAGTAAAGTGGCAGTTTTTCAGAGTGAAATTTACCAGGTATCTACCTGATGATAATGCACAACTTAGCAAATTACCTTAGATAATTTAAAAATTCCATTACAAATGAAGGAAAGAATTTTCACCCTTGTGCTTGACATGACTAAATTTAATATAAGTGGCTTGGAGAAAGAACTTACATATTCCAGCCTCATGGTGACAAAAAAATCACCTGAAGTATATTGCAAACCAAGTATCCCCTTCCTCCCATCCCACACTGTGCAGTGCCATCTAGCCCTGAAGTTTCCTTGAGTCCTAGGCTAGTCTGTGGGTAGTATGTACTTGGTACCCTGTTTCTGGTACTCACAAGTTTTATATTTCCCCTTTACTCCACTCTTTGGGTGATCTGAGGCTTCTTTGGAGCTGAGGAGCTTTATGAAAATGGATTGCTTAATTTATACCTTGATTCAAATTTGCAGTGCTGTAGCCTGGCCTTACAGTTCCAGTTGTAAAAGTCACCACCTCCTAGAGTTCTTGTTTCATGTCAGCTGTAGTAATTAAATAGAATGAAGACACCATCTTGCCCCTTGTAGCAGGCCAGCTCTCCTCCTATATACAGCTATTCTTACTTGCCCAGAAAAGAACTGTCTATGACTTGGTGTTTTTTTCACTTAAATCTCAGGTTCACCTTCAGTCTTCTTGTCATCTTACCACTAAATTTCATACTGCAGCGATGCGGGGATAGACCAGAAAGCCATGCCATCTAGGTGAATTTCTTTGAGGTAAGACTTATGATAAGGAGATAAATCACTGAGCATGCTGGATTTCCAATAACTTCAATAGCTGTACATCAGAGGTCAACCAGCTCCTGCCTATGGACCCAACTCAGCCTGTTGCCAATTTTTGTAAACAAAAACTTAAGGAAACAATCCGCATTGATTTGTTTATTGCCTATAGCTCATCTGCAGTACAAGGACAGAGTTAAATAACTAAAGAAGCTGGCCCATGGTGCCTCAAAGATTTACAGGAAAAAAGTTTGCTAACCTCTGAAGTAGACTGATGCATGGTCTAGAAACTAGATGTAGGAGACTTATACATGTAAGTTTTTGAGACTAGAGAATTCAACTGGTTACACAAGAGTGTGCCCTCTGGGGAAGGAAGGGAGATGTGAACAGTGATGATTTTCTCCCCTAGGGCTGATTCTGGAATAATGGAGGCAGCTGCTGGATTCTGCCATCACTTGGAAAGTGCATTGCAGGCAACTCTCAGCTGGCTGATCATGAGCTGCGTGGTGTGTGGTTATAGTTCCAAGGTAAATCAACATCCTGTTTGGAAAGATGTCTTTTGTTAGAAGTAGAAACTAAGCCTGGTGAGCTAAAGGACTGAACAGTGGCAAAAGCTGCTGTGTCTGGATTTCTACTGACATAAACAATAACCCATAACCTGGCTGGCCACACAGGAAGAAGGACAGCAGAAACTTGGCCTTTTAAAGGGATACCTGTGTGGGGCACATTTAAGTAGCACATGCTGATACCCATCAAGAGAACTCCCAGGCTCACAAGGTAATGAATTGACAAGCGGATACCCCTGGTCCACATGGGTTCATTAAATGAGTGGAGCAATTTAGAGGTGGACTGAATCTAGACATTCCTCTTGCACCTTCAAGGTACAAAATACCAACAGGATCTCTACCAGCAAAAGAGATCAAGACGACAGGGCTGTGGGGAAGCTTCTCTGTGAAGAGCCTGCTTATAGCTGGCAAGTGAGACATGCTGGTGTTCCAGGGAAGGGGGTCCTCACAGAAATAATCATCCTGGCCTAGGCTTCTCTGGGCCAATGAAAGAGCCAGGTATTCAGAAGAACCTGAATAGAAGATATTGCGTGGTTTGGGTAGCCAATCCTCATTTACTCAAACCAAAGAACACAACATACAGCCCAGTGTTGACCAATGGACAGAAATATCCCAGGCAGCAGTGATAGAGAAGTGGAGGACTCATGTCTAGAGCAGGTAAGATGCAGGCACAAGGGGCTGGCTTCCCTTCTTTCACAAGCGTGCTCGAACTTGGCGCAAATGGGACAAAAGGAGTCCCATGAGAGGTTTTCCTATTTTTCCAGTGCGTTTGGGGAAAGGTGGTGGAGAAGGAGGCACATGTAACTGTGGTGCTTTCTTTCACCTGAAAAAAATATTTCCCTACAATAAGTGCTGTAAGTAAGAACTTGATTCCTCAGTAGGAAACTGTGTTTTTAAATCTTACATCACAATTGCTACCGGCCCAATGGCATGGGTTATGCCTTCACTCCATCTATAATTTGGGTTAGCAGTGAGTACAGCTATATTGCATGGAGGTAAAAGCACCATGTAACTGTATTCTGTCTGAATGGGAGTGGACTGGAGGGAGACACCTGCTAGACTAGTACTGCTCCTGTAGTCTAGACCAGCACAGTGGCTGAACCCAGTTTCTTTTCCTCAGATTGTTAATGAAAGGAAGGAGGAATAGTCACTAGGGATAATGATAAATAAATGGCTTAGGGAGATTCAGTATTACATTAACACTCCAAGAGAGACCCAGAGCGAGGGATGCCATTGTCTCTTATCTCTATTATATCACATGATTGAAACGGTGAAACTACTTATTTGCTGAGACTTCTTGTGCTTTGGGGAAGCCTGAAAACATGAGTGGCTTCACCATAGGAGACATTCTTTCAATAGGATGAGTAGGCTAATTGTTAATGACTAATAGGGATTTGAGTAATGTGGTGATGTCTTTTGAGTTGTATATCCATTTGATGTAAGGAATCTGTGTTCAAAAACCAGGGGGTGGTCTATGATGTGATATACTTTTTGGTTTATGTCCATGGTTCCTGGTCACAACTCCCTCCCTCAGGCAAGCCACAGAAATTAGAATTTCTCTCTCCCAAGTCAGGTTATACAAACTCGAGGAGGCCATAAAGGGATTCAATGGCCCACAGAAGGTCATGAAACCCTTCTCATCCCAGAGGGTTCCTGCCTGTGCCCCAGAGGAAGGATACTACACAGAAAGGCTGAGAAGAATCTAAATAGGCCTTCCCTGACTTTTCTTACTCCAACTGTTTATTTAAAATTATGTCTATGCAATGAAGTCTCCATACAACCCAAAAGGACAGTGTCCAAAGAGCTTCCAGGTCGTTGAACATGCAGTTCTGGAGGGTGGCATCCTCTTCACCCGTACCTCACCCTGTGTGTCTTCCTCTGTGTCCTTTGTAATATCCATCATAACAATCTGTTAATTTAAGTGCTAAATAATTCTTTGATACTCCTCTTCAAGAAGTTGAGCTCAATTTTCTTCTTCATATGTGTGGGCTAGATTTATTTACTTCCTATGAATAGAGAATGGCCACAGTGATGGGATCTCAGTTCTGAGATAAGGGTATAAAAAGGCTGGCTTTGTCTTCTCTGTGCTTGCTTTCTTGGAGGAAACCCTTGACTTCACTGAACATTAAATCAGAATCACCATCTAAATTGCTCCTGGTTGGTGAAACTGAAATAGTGTATTTATTGTTTAAAGGTGCTAAGTTTGAGGGTAATTTGTTACATAGAATTAGAGAACTAATGCAGTACAGCAGCTACTGCCCCCTCCACACACATAAACCCACTGTTAACCTTACCAACAATCTTATGTAATTCTGTCCTCTGGGTCAAGGAAAGGAGGCTTGCTTTTTCAGAATAGAAACTTGAAAGAAGCCCTTTTGGACTAGATCCAAGACAAAACTTTCTCATACAAAAATTTATTTATTTGAATAGCTCACATGATACTAAATCTACTGTGTGTGCCTAAAAGTTCACTTGTCTAACATAAAACCACCTAAGAGAAGTCAATGGGAGCAAAGAATTAAAACTTCAGAGAAAAAGAATTTCCCATGGGAAATGATACTAGCAATAGTGGGATTGGTGGTCAGTTTTTAAGCCTGAAAAACGAAGGCAGAATTCCCAAGAAAGTGAAAAACATTTTTATATTGAACATATTCTTTTTTCTTTCCTTTATTTAACAGGAGGCTGATGACCTACTGGTTCTAAAGTGGCCTATCCCATTCCGTAGGCATTTGCACCTCTGAAGTAATAAAATAAATGTTTTCAGATCATTTTGGTGATGGTCTTTCTCATCCATAGCAGCTATCTCAAGCACTATCTCTAAAGTAATAAAATAAATGTTTTCAGATCATTTTGGTGATGGTCTTTCTCATCCATAGCAGCTATTTCTCAAGCACTAAGAATTTGAACAATTCAATCATTTTTCCTCCAAAAGAGTCTGATAACAAGGAATGAGTCCCCTTTCACATGGCAATTTTTACTCAAGTCTT